ACTAAATAGACAAATAAATAATAATAGTATTTTGGAACTAAGGTTGTTTGAATTCTATTTCTTACTGTGACATTCTGTCATTCTTCATACCGAAGGTAACTTTGAGGAGAAATGTATTTTCACGCCTTTGTCCATTTCGCGACATTTTGATTAATAGTAAGTATATATAAATCCATGGGTTCCCTACATATGTAATGTCTGACGGAACGTATCGACCTACTTTAATCTAGCTAACTCATATAACGCAGTTACTAGTATATGCGTATACTTAAGCTATGATATACTTGGCACTCTCGGCTAGTGTCGAATTATAGAAAAACATAAACATACAGTAATACGAGTAACTACTACTGTGCATTGTCTACTAAAGTTCAAGCTTTAAGGCCCTCGTTACACGAGGTCACGAAGGTCCCCTAATAAAAAATTCATGTAGTGAACTGTAGATAGACTGTTAGCCATCTAACTGGAATTGTAGGATTTGTAACTGCAGCACACTTATTTTACTAGAAATTTATAGGATATCGAGATTTTACTGTTCAGAGTACTTGTACATAGATTTATTTATAGCCTACTATAATTCTTCTAGTTCTTTGTTCTGCAACTAGACTGGTTTCAATTCGCCATGAATGTGGCGCCGACTTAATAGCACTCGCATATCTTTTCTTTACTGCCTGAATAACGACCAATGCTTTATCAACATGCTTCGCATACATCTACTGTTATCGTATGAGGTACTCTATACAATAATTCAATAAATATATAAAAAATACACTAACAAACAACAGTTATAATCATATTTGACGTATTCTGAGTTTATATCAACGTTAATGTGAATGATGAATTTAGACATTAATTACATTTTGAAACGCTGTATTGGATTTAGAGTGACGTCTATAACTTATGACGTGCGGGGCGTCCCTATAGATAAAACAATAATTATGTTAAAGTCCGTCAAGATTCTATCAAGATTTGAATACACCTATCTATAAATCAAATAATAATACTTATTTCAATATTTAATTTCAACTAATTTTTTGTTCCGTAAAATTGAGAAAATCGTTTTCTCGTATTATTTGTTGGTAAGGATCATCATATCATCATCATATCAGCCGTTAACTGTCCACTGCTGAACATAGACCTTCCCCTATTGGGAGGTTTTATGGGTTAAAACCCGCAATTAGGTTTTGGTGATTTATATATTTATTTGATCACCCAGTAGGGATAAGCTTTACAGTCTCCCAATACGCTTACCCAGGAAAGCATTATACAAACATACAATAATAATAGAAATACCTAACATTTATATCTTAAATGTCTAAACATAAGCAAGTTGGAGGCAAATACTTAATGCATTTGCTATTAATATAAAATTAATATAATGCTTAATATATTATACTGGTTCGAAACATTGGTAATTAATTTCAATGCAAGAGAGAGAGAGGGGCTCGCTTGGCCAACTCTGTCCTTCTTAACGGAAAAAAGTGATGTTTTAGGAGGGTTCTGTTACCCATACCTCGACCATTAAGTTTTCTTAATCATCTCTTATGGCATCCACGGGAAAGGAAGGGATGGTTTATTTTATACCGGGAACACACTGCCCACATATTTTTTATTAGTAATCTAAGTTTGTACTTCTATAAACCTAACGTAATATTGTATACTATTATATAAGACTTTTACCCTTGAAAATTCTATAATTTTCTTCTAGCTTCTCAAAGGTTGACTGTAAGAGATCCTTCTATGGGATAAGTCCTCTATTGTATATTAAATTTTTTAATGTGTCCAATGTAAATTATGTACAATAAAGATTTTACAATACAATACTTCTCGTATACAATGGTATACGAGAAGTATTGTATTGTAAACAGATACTCCTGTAAACAGAACCTGAATGCAGGGTCTGTTTACAGGCGTATCTGTTTACTTTCCACTAAGCGTTAAAAAGTACAAGTATTGAATCAACAATTCCCAGATTATATCAAAACGCAGATTATATACAAAATTATATATATAAAGTTATATATATATAAAATTAAACCGTATTTGCTTTAGACTATCTAATTTTATTGAAAAAAAAAAGTGTTTTAAGAGTCCGATTTGGCTGATTTGCAAGTTTCTTTTTATGTGACCATCAGCTGGACAGAGACATATTTCCATCCCATCTTGTGTTTACGTATAAATATTCATGGATTTCCGAGATCTTTATAAACCTTGATGCATTGAATTTTTTACGATCCGAAGAATGCGAAGGATTTGTGTAAAGACACAAAGTAGCATAAATAGATTATATAAAACAAATTATTTTTGTTTGTTTTAGATACGATAACATAATGTAAAGAATAAATAAATTAAAAGTTAAAATAAGTACATAAAAATAACTCTGATTTCACTTTACATATTTACTACCTATTTGGACATATATATAGAAGTTCTCGTAATGTAAGTTTGTTGTTTCTTAGCCGCTAAATTTTCTAAACTATCTCGCACATAAGAACATAAATAAGTTGCTACTTGTATAAATATGAATAATATATAATATACAGCTGTAATAAATTTGCTTATAGTACTTACATATTGTTGAGAAATTACTCCTTGTGAAGTTAGTCTAAATTTACGAAAGTTCTGCTGTTAAAATTGAATTTCCAGAGTTCGAACTTGTCCCCTTAATTTGGTTTATATGAAAGTCATTTCGGTAAAATATAATTACCCTCATTTTATTACAAAGAGCAGCTGTATTAAAATTGAAAGTAACCTAGTTTTAGTCACATTATATTTTTGTGTTAGATACCTATTGACGATGACATAAAGGTATGTTTGCTATAGTATTCTTATAAATTTGAGTGTTTGTGAAAGTTGGTGAATTATATTTGGTTTTTTTTTTTTATTTTACTCGTAATTTTGATTGAAATACTAAATAACAAAAAATCAATTAGTGATAGATTGTTTATTTCATTCCATAGATGTGTGAAAGCTGCCCAATATCAGTGAGTAAATAACGCTGTCAAATTCAACTTATCCCATTGTCCACAATAACATTTCATATTTTATTTGTAAATAGGTATAATAAATAAATCGTCTCAAAGTTTTGCCCAGAATGGGCACGTTAAGCGTCGCAATTTAGATGCTAGACAAATAACAAGCGATTCTATTCCTAATGCTTCAGTCAAAGTTAAAAAAGTTAAATAAATTTTAGGTATTTTATTTAAAGCATCATGGCCAAACAATTTACAAATAGCCGATACGCCCTTTGGATATCCAATTGCTTAAAAAAATTGTGGAAAATGAAATACTTTAATTCCCATCTCTATTTTCTATAAATTAAAATCGCATCTCATACATTAAAATGTATATATATTTTAATATATTGGATAAGATGTCTCCCCTCACTGACTGAAAAAATCTCTTTAAAAATGACATTATCATATGCGTATTGGATTTGTTTTTGTATTTCTATTATTCGCTTGTTTTTTTTTTTATTAAATTTACTTACTATTTTTATCCTCTCTTTTCTATATAACATTAGCGATTTTCTACTCAGGTGAAATTTAACCAAATATAAAATATGTAGAGTGGTTTTCTTTGAAATCCGCCAAAAATACAATACTTGTTTCATTCATATGGCTACATGTATGTATGTACCTCATATTTATAGTAGTAGGCTACTACAGTCGAGTTAACTCCGGCAAAGGATATTTTGCCCTCTTATCGCCACCATTTTTTCTTATCGGAATAAAAATAAACCTACATCTTAAGTTGGAGCGAACAGTACACATTCGTAAAATTTTATTAAAATAAGTTGAGCGGTTTCGGAGATTAGCGTGAACGAATGTGGTAGATGGTATACAAGATTTTTATTTAATATTGAGATAGGTTTGTATTAATTTAACATCGTTCATACGTTAAATTATAAATTGCAATAAAGTATCAGATTATAAACAGTGAATCTGTACTTAAATTGTGCTTACTTATATATGTATTTATGCTGTAAAAGAGAACAGCTTGCTATCATATTTATGTGAAGTAGCACAACATAACTTCTAACAAGCACAGAGAAGCTTGACGAAACTATATAATGCCATGTCTCGTATTGTTACTCCCTTGTGTTGTCTATTATGGAGACGTGACTTAAACATTGTCTTTAACTTACCTACCCGTCTGTAAGATTTATGTACAACAGATTTAGAAGGGATAGGAAAAGGATAGTTAAGTTATACAGGCCTCGTGATGCAAAATATATTTAGAGGGATAGAATTACATAATTTTTTACATAAGTAGATAAAGAAAAATTTCTAACCTAAAAACTTTAAATTCTGTTACAGTTTTCTAATGGCAAAGGTTTGGCACTGGTGAAGTCATAAATTTATTTTAGTAGATTCTACTAATATTATAATTATGAAAGTTAGGAATTTAAACAACTGAATAGATTTAAATGTAACTTAGTATACCTTTAGGAACCATCATGACCTAAATTAATATGCGAGTAGCTGTATGCCACTGCATGTAGCTACTAGATTATAAAAGATTATAAATAAATATTTTCTATTTATAACTACACATATTTATTCCTTTTACACTTTTTATGTGTTTACTTTACACTTCTCATCAAAATTAAATGTATAATTGCATCATTTATACAGTTAATTTTAATGAAAAATAATACAAAAGGCGGCCTTCTCCCTAAGCAATCTTAATATTAACATTCTATATTAATATCTTATAACATAACATTGTTTAATTACCAATAGACACAGCTTTGAAGATAATTAATTTGTGTTATAATCTATGTATAAACATGTAAATTACATTTGGAAATGTATGTGACATTTCCAAATATCGTAAACCTCATTTGAATTGTTTCCAAAATCCGCGTACAACAGTTCCAGATATAAAAGTTAAGTGGTCGCGAACATGGAAATATTTGTGAAAATAGTAGGAATTTTCACGAATCGTAGGGAGCATGAGGGGCGCGGCAGGCTACTCCCGGGAGTGCTGGGAGTCAGGTCGCGTCAGCAGTGCCCTCTCAGAGCGCGCGTCGGTTGGACGCTGTTCTACCCTACACCTGAATTCCGTTTAGTCGAACTTCTCGGAACAATGACGGCGAATCGTTGCGATTGATGGGCCCTAATCGGCAAAGTGATTGTGTACCTGCCCAGTGTTCATGTAATGACTGTTTTACGATCATTCGGGATTATGCCGTCAACTGAAGAATTTGCTCAAAAATTCTTAATGGTATTTCCTTTTTTAATTTCATCTAAAGTGTGTAATTGAACTATTTTATTAAATACTAACTGTTGCTGTAAATTCGTCTGTCTTAATTTTAATCGTAAATACTCGTATTATTCTAAAGGAAGACATTAATTAGTATACCAACTTTCATTTAAATTCATAAAATATAAATGTACTTTCTGCTTAATAATAGATCGAACCAGCTTTTGTATTTCTTGCGAAAATGGGATACTTTAATAAGTACTATCTTAGGTAGGTATTTTTATGCAGGTAAAGAGGTTTTGACCAAACCAAAATTTCATTACAATTCGATGAACGAATTTTGATATAGATTGCGTATAGCTTTTAGCATGTAGAATACAAACAGCTAATAAAAATTTCAAAAATTTTATACGTATATGTATATACCATAGCATATAATAATATAAAATCATATACTTGATTGTTTACATTTTTTTTGTTCATAGAATTTAAAAGAAATATTCTGTTTACGGTAACGAGCCTAGTTATATTTTATCATAATTTTATTCTATTAATTGCATTTTTTATTATAAACTATCACATTTAAATATTGAAATTATTTTTGAATCTTGTAATGTAAAACGTGCAATTTATAAAACGTATATTATACGTAATTATAAGTTTTTATTAAAAACTTAGAACAGCAATCAAGCACCTATATGGCGGATGTATCTATTCATCCAAATCTTTGGGGTCTAAATGACTTAATGGATTTTAAGAAAAGGGTTGTGGTTAGAATCGTCTTTATTGTGGGAGAGCTTTAATAGTCTACGTGACGAGACCATAAAATAAATGCACCGTCAAAGCTGGCGAAATTTAATTCGGGTTTTTTGTAACTGTCACATCCACTTTTTGAGGAAACTGTGGAGTATAGGCTCCATTTATTGTTTATAGTTTTTATATTATTGTCTACCAAATTCGGAATAATAGAAAGATATGCTTTCTATTATTCTTTCGACTCTAATTTTCTAAGTTTCCTTGATTAATACACATTATTTGCAATTTCCATTCATAGTTTCCTTTATTGCCTACATAAACTATTTATCATATTTCGTTAATAAATACTTTGAGTTAGCTTAGTCGTAAAAAGGTAACGTACAAAAAAAATTATTCATTCATTCTTATAAATAATTCATACTGATGTAATTCATTTCAGATCCTTATTAACTATCTAACAATCATAAACAAGCTGAACGATCTACTTAATGGAAAGCAACCGCTACTCTACCCTTCCATTATGTATCGTTACATATATTTTTACTACATATACATTAAATAGAATAATACCACAACTCCCGATGTTTTATGCTTTTATATGCGCGATTAGTGATGTACTCAGGCAGACTGATTTACCTAGATAGACTGAGTTGAGTGCCTGATAGGTACCTACTCAAGTACTCAATGTACATAGCTCGGATATATCTCTTTATTGTCAACTCAGATAATATCTTAATATTTCAACTTAAGTAATCTGAATATCTTAATGTAACTAAATAAAGAGAATTACAAAAGATAAGTACAACGGACGGTCTTATCGCTATAAACAATCTCTACTAGACAACCTTTGGATGGAGAGAAGCAATTTTATAATCTGATAGGAGTTCTAACAATATATATATATACTCAACAATATACCTATATTATATTTGAGCTAAAATTAAACTCTAATGATAAAAAAAAAATTAAAACACCACACAATATTTAAAGATATTGTGTGTCGTGTGATACTGTACTGTACTTTAATCAGCAATTTATATTCATCTTCATGAATAAAACTTGTTTTGTTAATATTTTACTGGAGTGTTATTTTGCGATATTATTAACAAAATAATTCTAATATTAATAATTTAAAATAATTCTAGTCGAATAATTTGTTTTGTTTACTGTGTAAGTTCACAAGTCATCCAGTCTAAATATACAATTTATTTTCAGACTCTCTACTGCTATTACGTGTTTACATAAAAGGAGTTTAGTGCCGTCCTTTACTTTTACCTTTTTTTGTTTATTCCAAGTAATTGTTTAGATAATAATGATCTGTAAGACGGGTTATTCTAGTACCGACACCAGTCTCTCACAAAGATTGTTTTAAATTGTAACCTATATAGCTGTAAAATTTATTGTTGTTATTTTGTGAAAGAAATTATACATATATATATATATATATATATATATATATATATATATATATATATATATATATATCTTTTAGGGATTTAAAGTTAAAACCTCTTTCAACCTACTCGATGCTTTTGCCTTACCAAAAACATGATATTGTATTAATTTCGTTAGTATTTTAACCTTTTGCAAGGAAAGCCAGAGCATTTAGCTCGCAAATTTATAAGAGTGAAGCCCAGGAGCATATTATACAAAAAAAAAAACAAGTTTTAAGAACCGTGAAATTTTTTTTCTATAGCCGAGATGTTCCATAGAAACTACAATGTGGGGCTTTTCAAAAAGAATCTATCAACTACAACAACGTGCATATAACACATCTGAAGTTATTATGAATATATTAATTAAATAATTAATTGAAATATGACAATATGACTTGCCTGACGATATGACAAACTTTATAGAAACACTATTACCTATTCTGCTAACAAAGTATTAATTTACATTAGATGACTACTGTGCCAAAACTAGGCAGTACTGGGTTTACATAAATAAGATCTCATTGCTGACTATTGTAGGTATAAAGCTTTTTAATGAACTTTGGTTTAAATGAAAGACGAGGAAAAATTTAATACAATGCAGTCATGTTGCGTAGCAACAAATGGCTGTCATTACCTTTAATTAAGTTTAGCAAAATTTATTTTTGGTGACAAATTGCATGTATAAAACTTTTAGGTGAATGTAACTGCATTGGAATACTGTGATGGATGTAAGGTTGCCATGTAAAATTAGGTATGATAATTTTCGCAAATTTACCCTCATTGCGATTTTATATAAAATTTACTCCAAACGGAAGTTTTTTTTCTTTTCAACACAACAACGTAGGGTTGCTCATAAAAAATGAGCGAAAGTAAATGTTGCCGCCATAAAAAAAATACTATTTTTGTTCTTTATTAGAGGTGTTTGTAGTACCATTGTAGAGAATTGGTTCTTTTGACAAAATTTGCAACGAATGGAAATTTATTTTCAAACATGGTATATTTGAGTGTATATTACACTAAGCATAAAAATAGCCATAAATAACTTACGACCTTATGAAGTTACTACTTTTGATTTTTTATTGCTCTTTTAAAAACAGTATAGAATTAGGGTAGGTATCATGTAATGTACACAATAAAATACACCGTCAACTTGAGAATCTTCTCTTTTTTGAAAATTAATAGATGGTAAATAAAGCTATAATTATTTCGGACACACTGAAGAGATGCATAATAGTGTGTAAGCAGATTTCTGCAGAGAGAAATTAATATGTAAGTCGGTCGAGTGCATACTTGACTACCTAAGTACGTTTCCATTTAGAAAAGGCAATATTCAGACGGTAGATGGAATGTTTATAAAAAGAAGTATTCATGAAAATAAATTATGCATAAACAAATAAAAAAAAAATGACGGGAACAGTAAACATTTAGTTTAAATTGAAGAGTTGTAGTTTAAATATAGATGAATACGGGACGGGACAATGCGTAATCGTTTATGATTATGATGCGCTTTGAAAATTACTTGTTTGAATTTTACTTAATTTTCAAGTTACAAGCTTCTTATACCTGACACAGGCAGAAATGGTCGTAAAAATAGCGACCGGTTGCTATTGAGAAAAAGAGGAAAAAATATGCATATACATACACCATAAATTTGTAGTTGGTAGTGTGTATGAGTGTGTGTGGGTGTGTGTGTCGTGAAAAAAAAATGAAATCGTTAAAGTTTTATAATTAATGGAAATTATTCATCAATATAAAAACAATAATTTCGATATGTTTAAATGTTTACATTTTTGTATTAGAAAGGTACCTAATATGTATTTATTTTTCAAATTTTCGATGTCAAGTTGAACTGAATAAAATTTTTCAACTGAAAGGATGAGTTATTTCAAAACGGGCGTTGAAAGGTTTTATTACAGGGTCAGAAACAACGGTCGAGTACGTGACATCCCTGATGTCACAGCGGTCTACAAGGTAACCGCTTCCTATCTAGCGACTGTAACCTAATGGCCACCATCATTATCTAAAAAAATAATCGACATATATGGAGTTATTTATCTAAAGTTACGACATTTATATAATAATTATCTGAGATAGTTAAGATTATGTTCCCCAAAAAGATTTCAATTTCAAAAAGTAAACTACTGAACCGATTTTGATCAAATTTCAAAGAGTTATGAGGTAACAAAAAAATACAACTTCTTCTTTTTAAAGTCGGTTGAGAATTCAGATGAAAAATATAGGTATCTTCGAACAAAGAGTTTCTCATCTACGTCGACAGTTTGCATGTAAGTACACTTGTAGATTTTTTTTATTGGTAGAAAATGAAATAGTAACCCCGCCTGCGCTAACGGGATACGCTGGCGGGGCACCAGTGAAGGGTGATCGATGAGGATGAAAACAGACCAGTTAACCCATCATGATGAATTCATCAGGAATTAATCATTATAGTTTCCAGGGGGAACCGCGAGGAGGTCGACCTGATTGGATATATTGCTAGCAATGGGATTCTCAATCTCCATTACTAACAATCCCTTTCCCCCCGTACACTTGTAGTAGGTACATTATTTCAAGATCGATAGTCATTAGAACCAGAACAGCTATCGACGATAACTTACCATGTTTAGTTTGAAACTAATAGTAACTCAAACGTGGTTTCAAACTAATGCTCTTTACTCACAGGTTACAGGTTACCGGTATATACTTACTTATAACCACGATAACAGAACTCTAATAAATAAATATAGTTCTAAGGACTTGTACAAATTTGATAATAATGTATTTCTATTTTAAAAGGATAAATGATGCAAAATTTTATTTTACAAAAAATTA